AAACTTTATTGTCGGCTGACGGCGTTCTAAAGCACGATCGAAAGTGATTGAACTACCATTAACGACCAGTGGCGGTGGTAGCAGTGGTGCTCGGCATATCCAACTGTTGATCTGTACGAGGTGCGATTGAATAGCTTTCATTCGAGAAGAATACACTCGCAGGTAAAAATAGAGCACTGCTCAAAGGTACTGCAGCAAAAAAGTGATATGTGAGTTTTAGTATCGTCTGCATTGACAAATGAATCTGTCTTCACTTGAGTGGCTGATTGATTTCCAGCTGCTCACATTCACTGTGAATATGCAAATCAGCCTTTCTCGCACTGTGCTGCTGACACACACAGACGCAAACTGTGTGGCACTGCTGAACTTTGGTGGCATTATTAATTGATTTATTGTACTTTCTCTCTCCTGCTAAGGCTCACACAGACACAGTACCACTCCTTGTGATGCGGAAAGCCATGGTTTATGGGAAAAGGCCGACCAATGAGCTGATGAGGTGATGACCATTGCTGCGGTAGTGGAGATGCTGGGACAGGCAGTGGTTGGGACGGCTGTGGCGGCCATTGCTGCCCAGTGGCCATAACCACAGCTCTGACTGCACTGCCTGTCCATTGTTTCTGTCTGTCCAGCCAGAACGGCCAAGATCTTGCTCGTACTGTGCAAACTACTGCGGAAATCTATTTTCGGAATCGGCAGTGATTGATGCCACTATTCGGTATCGCATCTATAGCAATAGTCGATGCACAAATTAATTTTCTTTTTGTTTGCGGTTTGCTAGACCGATAATCTAATTAGGATGTACTAGTCGAATGGAAAAAAAGAAAAGAAAAGGCTATCCCCTCTCTTGTGTAAACACAACAATGGATATGGCTTGTCTAACCTGTAGGTTGTCTGAGCATCATCTCTCCAGTGAGCAGATATCTTCTATCAGTCTAGTCGCATCAAGCACGTGGTTCTTGATCATCAATCGCAGTATTATAGTGGTCACCACCGGACAGTAAAACACACAACGCCATCGATTATGCCGGTGAAAAGCGATCTGAGGATTAGTTAGGAGACCGCAAAAGGTAAGAAAAAATGCAAATGAAGTGCCGAGTCCACTATTAATAGTCACATCTTAAAATTGAGCAATTTTGCAGTTAATTGCCAAACTGGAAGCGATCCTGTCGTCGTTGATTGAGCATGATTACCAATTCTCAATCATAAATGACACTTAAATTTGGTGGGGCACGTTTCTGTGGCAGCGTTTTTGCTTTCTCGCAGCAGTAACAAGTAGCCACTTGTTCACTGGCAACAATTGTGCTTTATGGTCAGCTATTCCGCTACTCAATACTAGCGCTCTTTTGGGGCACTTCATTATAATGTCTTGATCGATTTGTCTAGTCGACTTTAAATTGAAAGCCGACAGGCTGACAACGGCATATGCAAATTTGGCGCCATTTCCTTGATGCTTTGCTTTGCTTTGCATGTAAATTGCCTCTTTTTGGACAGTTTGTTTGTGGATTGTCTTTAAACTTAAAGGTGGACAGCTGAAGTCATTGAAAGAGGCTTCTTAGAAAGGTGGCTACTACTTCTCTCCGCTATCTTTCCCTTGCACTCTTTTTGGCAGTTGTGTGTTCAGATGTTTACTGCTGNTTCTTAGAAAGGTGGCTACTACTTCTCTCCGCTATCTTTCCCATGCACTCTTTTTGGCAGTTATGTGTTCAGATGTTTACTGCTATGTGGCTGTAGCTCTAAAATAGACCAATCTAAGATGCAAGTGGATGACAGTGCTGCTAGTGACCGCCACTCTATAGTGGAGTCCGAGCACACGGCGGACGGTGAGGGGAACAATTGGCCAAGCTCGCATCATCTCCTGGGGTGTCATTTCGCAGTGAATGAGCTAATTGTGGTCGTATTGTTTGTGCGTCTGTTTGTCTGCCTGTGTCTACGAGTGTAAGAGTGAGTGTCTACTGCTGTTGCTGCTGTTGTTGTTGTGAACACCGAGCAGCAAAACGGCGCGATTAGGGCAATTAGCGTGAGAGTCTCCGGTGAAAAGTGACGCCTGATTGACGTTGCTGCAATTTCTGGCCATTGGTCGCCGCCACTCGATTGTGTTTAATTGTCAATAATTGAAATGTTTTCATGTTCTCGACAGCCGTGCTTTACCTGCTTAAATCAAGTCGCCGCTCATTCTCTCTGTCTTTCTCTGGAGCACGGTCACCAGCAGCACTTAGCGGTTCCGCAGTGGAAGTGCACTCTTCGATGTAGTCCACAGAACACGACTTGTACTGCAGTTCCCTCATTGTTGTATTTACCGTGATGGACAATTAAAATCTATTTGCTAACAAAGCCAGTGCAATACTGCGCTGAGCAGCCTAGGCTGTTCTTATCGGAGATGGCCTAATCTCTCTGCTAAGCTGGCCATTTACATGTTGCTTCTTTTCTCTTCCTTTCCTTCATTCATTCTTCGTTAGCTTGTTCGTGATCGCAATTAGCGTGCAAATGAGTGCTGCCTTTGCTGGAGTGAACACTGTTCAACTGAAGAGGCCTGCCAACACCTACTTCAGCCTGGTACCTACAGCATCGATGGCAAATGACAGCAACAATTACACAGTGTGTGTGTGCAGCACATCCGCCCGATGAGTCCAAAGAGGCAGTAGTCGTGTGGCAGTGCTGTCATCGCAATGAATCAGTGAACAGGGCACAGAGCAGTGGCGCACTCGATTAGCCATGTCCACGGCGGAAAACACTAATTGACTGTCGAACAATCACGGCAGCATCTGCAGCGGTGAAAGTTTGCTCGCACAATCTAATTACCGCTATTGTCTTCGGCACTTTCACTTTCACTGCCATTTTCAGCACTCCTTATTGTGGCTCTTTATGCGGAAGTCCTTTCTGCTTGCTGTTGTCATCAGCTTTCCTGAATGGCACCATTCATCAGCACAGTGACTAGTTCAAGTATCGTGTGACAAGTTTGGGAATGCACGCACATTCACACAAAGTGAAGCGCCTCAAATGTCACCAGAGTGAAGCGACATCATTTTGTACATCTTATCTTTCCTTACCTCCAACTACAGTGAAAGGCAACAAAAAGGGCATCATTAGTAACAGGCGCTCTCCAGNCAGAGTGAAGCGACATCATTTTGTACATCTTATCTTTCCTTACCTCCAACCCCAGTGAAAGGCAACAAAAAAAGCATCATTAGTAACAGGCGCTCTCCAGTGCTGCTGCTGCTGCTGCTGCTGACCACTGCTGTTTCATGCGTAATTGATCACCCTGAATTCCCAGGCGGTGGAGATGAAGAGCACAAAAAGCCAAGACCTTGGAAGCATACAAATTTAAAACGTGAGCAACACTACCTGGTTTCTTGTTTTCTTGTTAACCAGCACAGAGGCGCGCTTATGGGTTTAACTTTGACACAATTTCCATGCTATCATTAAAACATTGGTTGAGTGCTGGCTGAACGTCAACAACGAGCCGGAACAACGGTTTTGTCATTACGGATGAAATTCAATCTCAAAGATGAGCTGCTGAATATTACTGGAAAGGCTTAAAACACTAGATAAAGGAGGAAGTGCAAATCGAGAATTTTCCCGTGCTGTTGCACAAAACAAAAGCAAATTACTTCATTTGTCAAAACAAAATATCCAGTCAACACGAGTTAAACCGTTCCCTCCTTACAGGTGTCAAACTAGTATAAACAAATCTGCAAACGTGTAAATCAATCGAAATTCACTTTCCACACGCTCTAAGCTGTGTAAGCTATTCGTACACCACAAACTGGTCAATTGGTCAAATTGTTTGAGCCGAAAACGAAACGATAGCGTGCATTCACAGCATTGCCGCCGCATTAGAGCGCACGAAACAATCAAAGCAGGTGTGCTCGTGCTCACTGGGTAATATGCTCGGATTAGCCGAGTGCTGCGTTGTTTCCACTATAGGTAATGCCTAAATTGTCGTTTGCGGTTTAGGGAGCAATTGCAGTACTGCCAGTTGTAGAAACTCTATTGAACCGACCAGGTAGAATAACTACAGGTATTGGCAGTTGCACTATGACAGGTATAAATAGTAGAAAGCTCCTTGTCAGATAAAGCAGCACATTAAGCTTCATTTCAGGTAGATTAGTAAGTGGAGCTACATGGAGGAAAAGGGGGCAATGTATTTGTTTGCAGAAGAGTATCACAGCTCCAAGGTGTCCGCTTGTATGAACATCACCGGTTTCACCTAGTTACTTTGCCTGCATACCTTGCTCATTTGGCTCATTCATATTAATAAGCAGACAAACAAATGTGGAACAATGTGAGCGAAGCCGACCAAGGAGCGGTACTGCGCGAGGTGTCGAGTCAGCACATCTTCAGACAGACTGGCAGAGAAACTTAGATAGACTTAGATAGAGAACAGTGGTGGGCACCTTCTCCAGTGAGAGGCAGATTGGCCACCTGCACACTGGCCATAAGTCACACTGCTCGCCAAAGGAAAGATCTACTTTGCCGAGAGAAGGACTGATGTGATACTGATTTAATGTAGATGATTAAGAAAGCAGTCGGAAGGGAAAAAAGTTCTTGGAAATGAAGAAAAACTAGCGCTCGACGCGCGCGAGAGTCGCCTGATTGAAATTCAGCGCGCAACACATTGTGCAAAGGTGCATTTGCATCTACGTCCCTCTTCAGCTTAATAGAGATCATGTGCAAATGTGCTGAGACAGCTGAGGAAGCAGCGTGCCAAACACACAATCTGTCTCCTGTAACATGAAAAATGCTTTTATTTTGACACCAACTTGTCGGCTGCATCATAACTCCTTTTTACATTTGACAGCCTGTTGCTGTCAGGACATGTGTCTGATTCTGCTATTTATTCAGAAAAGTCCTGTCTAATGTTTTTTAGTGAACCAGTTTATTTGTTTTTTATTATTTAAAATCATCTTCATCATTATTATAAAAATCACAGTCTGGGTAAATCATAAAGTATAAACAAAAATTATTTAATTTGTAGTAGTATAAACTTGTTAAAAATAATCCTAAGCAAAGCCGAACCCTTCGGAGCACTCATGAATAGCCTTCAGTAGCATCAGACGCAGCTTGTCGTACGTTTCGTAGGCGGGTAAATCAAGTTGATTGAAACTAAATAAAGTAGTAAATTAATACATTTTTTGTCATATAAAAAGCATTTAAAAGTGAAACTTACCATGTGTGAGCAGATGGCAAACGGTCGGTGGAACGATCATCGAGATGAATCTGGAATTTCTGTGGACCGTTCATACCTTCCAACGCAGAAAACCCTTGAAGAGGTACTTTAGAAGTTCCTGTAAATGAAAAAGTGTGTCAAAAATCACTCGGTTGAAAGTAAAACACAAAGTACCTGTAACAAATTGCAAAAATTTGGCCCGATCTGCCTGGTCAAAGCTTCGCAGTGCTCGCCAAAACCATTGCACCTGAAGAGAGTTCGTAGAGTACTTGTGATACTCGCTGTTGTTCTTTAGATCGTCAATGTCAATGTTGGGCAAACCGGAGATGAGCAGCTCAAGCTCATGTTCATTGAAGATGCTAATCAGCTTTTTGGGAACCAGAGCGTAGAAGCCTTCGAGGAAGGCAGAGAGCTGTGCTCGAATTGAGTTGGTCATCTTAGCCTGACACATGTACTTCACATAGTCATGCTTGTTCGCCTCTGTCACCACAATGTTTCGTCCATCTGGAGCTAGCTCAATGGTCTTGACCACTCCGAAATCATCCACTTCGTAAACGAAACGCATCTCAGTGCCCATGTCGGCCACATTGTGCTCCAGCAGGTAGACTAAGCCTTTGTACAATGCATTGTCTTGCGCCTCTAGATCGTTGTACTTGACTACCTTGCCAAGAATGTGCTTGTAGAAGGAGCGAGTAAAGTAGCAATCAAGTAGTTTGTTGTCAAAAATTGCCTTTCCGATTAAACGTCCGACAAACTTGAAGTAGCTAAGGTGATTAGTATTGCAGTAGGATGATTGGTTGATCATATAGGTGACACGGTCGCCGGGAGATGTTGTGAATAGGGCATAGTTTGGATTGAAAATTTCTCGAGAAATGATAGTGTACCACTCGCGCAGTAAACCACCAGCATCTTGACCTTCTTCGCCCTCAAACACGACGTAGAAACCTAAAAAGAAAGATAAATTAATTATTTAAAACAAAAAAAATGTTTCATAACGTACGATTCTTCCACTCTTCTGAACTTCTTCGATTCAGCTCGCGGAAAGAGTCTTCGAATACATTTTCACGACGAATATGAACGGCTAGGTCGTCACGTCGCACGCCATGATCCAGTCGCTCGAGTTCCTGGCGGAAGTAGCGACGCTTAACATCAAAGTCCAGAATGCGGGTGTGATCCACCAAAACTGAAAATGGACCAGCTGCCAGGTGAACTGAAGATTGACGGAGAATTTGGTTGAGAACAACTCGATGCTTTTCAGCGAAAAATAAAAACTTTTGCGTATCAGGTGGAAGATTGGCCATTTGAATGTTCTCGCTGTCAACCTGGGTAGCATCGCTGGGAAACGTTTCACTCGTGGCCATGCTCTGGCTGATGTGAGCCAGTTGGTTGCTAACTGATTCAGCACGAGTTTCAGTTTTGTTCGCCTTTTCGGGAGCGTGAACCAAGAAGAAAGACTCGACTGCGGGCTGAAGGACAAGCACGGCATGGTCGTCGGGTGCCTCAGAGAGAAGACACAGACACTCACTGAGCTTGTCCCAGAGGTGATCAAGATGCAGCTCAGAGCTGAGTTTGTCCTCCTCCTTGTCCACTTCCATTTTAGTTTCGCTGCTTTGGTTAGTAGGCGTCGAAGCTTTGTTCTTACTGCTTGCAATTCCTCGAATGGTAATGATGATTTTCAAAATCCGCAAAAATAGAAATTGGCTGGATGACTTGGAAATCAGTGCCGACATTGAAGGCAGCTGAACTTCCTTGCCGGAAATGTTGTGCTTTGAAGTGGCAACAGCGCTGACAACAATAGACTGACTTGAATAACGATCCAGAATCAGACCTTTGCTTGAGCTCGCCTTGTCACCCGAATCTCCGGCATTATCCACCACTGGTGTATCTTTCCTCATTTTAGCGAGCAGTTCTTTCAACTCAAATGAAAGTGCGTTAATGTCGGAAAACACACTATCACCGAGGCCGCGAACTCCGTCGAGTAGAAGCTTGTAGAAAATAGTGCGACAACTGGAAAACACAGTGGCCAACTTGATCAAAAGGGAAGTGGCATCGATTAGACCTTCTTCTGAACAGCCCTTAGAGATCAGCACGTCGACAACGAGTTTGAGAAGTTTTTCATTGGCCAGAGACTTTTCGAGTTCTGCAAACTTTCCTTCCTTAGTTTCCGTAGTTGAAGCGTTTCGTGATTCAAATTCGGCATACATTGAGTAGGTGACATGTGTCAGCAGACGCATCAATCGATCGGTGAGCATTGAACTCTTCTTAATAAACTGGTGGGAGAGTAAACTCAACAGCTGAGAAAAGGGTGACTGTTCAATTGTCTTTGATCCATCCGTGCCGTCAATTGCCTGAACTGAGGTGGTAGAGTTAACTTTGAATAATGAATTAGTTAAAGTGACAAAACTTAAACTTTAATAAAAACATACTGTGTTTAAGAGATTTCTTCTTGTTTGCGTGAATGCTATCATGACGCATAAGCACATCGAAAAAGTTTGGAGTATTTTTCGAAGAAGATGGAGAGGAGACAGCTTCTTGAGATTCAGATTTTAATGTGGGAGTTGAAGTGTTTGGTGTCACAATTGGATTTTTTGAAGAAGAACTGAACGAAAGAAACTGTTCAGGAAATGTTTTTGATAAAAAGATAAGAATATCAAGAACATTGCGGCAAACAAAAGATGAAGCTTGTGGATGAATAAAGATGGTAAAGTTGGGCTTTTTCCAATTGCTCGACTGGAGTTTGCTAGAATTTTGAACGTAAAAAACGTTTGTTTTAGAACCAAACGCTGACTCTAGGCTAATTGAAAGCCAAGAAACGGAAGGATTTTGAACAACAAATCTGCAAAATGAAAAAAAATTAATTTCTTTGGAAAAACATGTTTTTCAAAGGAAGCACATACTTGACAGAAAGGTCATCATTGGAGATAAGTTCACTCGAGTGTACAGAATCATAGCTCTTATCAACTGACTCTTTAGTTCTTTCCATGATTTCCAGTAAAGATTGAATCACCCACTGACGAGTGGGAGCATGAAAGCACAGATTTCGAATGAGGCGATGCAGGCGTTGTGAATTGAGAAGATTATCATGAATGAACAGCAGAATGAGCAGAGAAGAAAGCGAATCAAAGTCAAGAAGATGTTTCCCTTTGATTGTGCGTCCAACAGATGCGTTTCTTGGAGGAAATCTAGAAGCGGAAAAAGTGTTGCGGTTGTAATGACCTGCCGCGGCGGTGCCGTTTGAATGTGCTCCACCGCCAGCTCCAGGTCGATTTCCAGTTGCGTAGTTGAAGGCCCACTGGTTGGGCAAGCCAATGGAATAGCGAGCCCGCGCTGAAGCTTTAAAAAATTAAAATTAGCAAGTAGTTCACCAATGATTTTTCAACAAAAAAAACTTACTGGCATTACGAATAATGCGCGACAAAGCGGTGCTCGAAGAGAAGAGCCGCTCCTGAAATTGACGATGGCGAATTTCATTCTCCTGCCTCAATGCTCGAGCCTCGTTGGCAATGTCAACTGACAGCAGTCGAATCTGACTATCATCGAGATCAGATAAAACTTGGCGTCGCAAAGAGGGGGGCAAAGATCGGAAGAAGCTGTCTGGGTCGACAGGAGCCTCTGGGTTGACGCTCTGCGCGGCCAGTCGTTGCTGCTCTGCACGCTGCTGCGCCAAAACTTCCTCTTGAATGTTCGGTGGAAGTGCAGCGAGAAACTCTGGATTCACCTCAGCAAACGTTGCTGGAGCCAAATTTGTTGATGCATTTGCAGTGGCAAGTTGCTGTTGCTGCTGTTGCTGTTGTTGTTGCTGCTGCTGTTGTTGTTGCTGTTGTTGCTGCTGCTGCAAATTGTTAAGTCTCTGCAACCTAAACTGCTCTGCAATAACCTCTTGTCGGATATTTTCCGGAAGGGCGGCCAGAAATGAAGGGTCGACGCCATCGGGAATTTCCTGGTCTCCAAGAATAGCCCTCTCTTCCGGGGTGAGATTGTAAGTAACCTGAGAGCTGCTTGGTGGGGGTGGTTGCTGTGCAGTGCCAGCAGCAGAAGTAGCAGCGGCAGCGGCGGCAGAAGCCGCATCATCCGAAGATACAACAACAGTCGACTGTTCCGGCGCATCAGCTTCCAACTGCTCTGTGGACTCATTTGTCGACTGATCCATCATTTCGGGAGTGTTCACACTTTCAATCTGAGCAGAAGTAGCCAAGCTGGCATCATTTTCCGATCTCTGCTCATCAGTGGACATTGGAGTAGGAGTGATAGCCTCTGCAGCCTCCTCGTTCACATCCATATCAACCCGTTCAGGTTCGGCAGCATTTTGAGTGGAAGTAGATTCGGTAGATTCAAGTGGCACTGAGTTAAGGCTAGTTTCAAGGCCAGTAAGGGCAAAAGCATTTGTGTTTGTGTTTGCGCTTGCTTGAGCACGTCTGGATGACCGTGAAGAGGGATTGGGCGCTTCAAGCACATTATTGATGACTGAGTTGGCCAGCTCTTCAATGTGTGCATGAAGATCTTCAATTCGCTGATTTTCCTCGCTTGCATCAACATTTGGTTCACTCGGTGCATCTCGGTGGGATTTGAATTCTTTGATCAAGGAGGCAATCTTAACATCATCATTCTTTTTCTTATCCTTTTCCTTGAGATCCTCAGCTTTGTACTTTTCCAGGCACTTCATAATTTCGCCTTTGACAAGGAAAATGGCATCGTACATGTATTCACCATCCAGCACGCGACACTCTTCATACCAGCGACACATGGTCGAAGGAATGGCGCTCAGAGAAGGGTTCTGGTGAGCACCCGTTGTTGAATAGGCTGAAGGGAAACCACTTCCACTGGTAGGATTATAAAGCTCTTCTTCAGGAATGTCAAGGTTTTGTCCGCCTACAACGTTATTGCCTCGAGATGAGAATCCATTGACAATATCAGTGGGAAGGTAGCTTGTGCCTAGGAGGCGATGCAAAATCACAGAAGTGTTATTGCGACTGGAATTGGTAAGGTGCCAATTGTGATTGCTTGAGTTGATAAGCGATGATCGATAAGTTCGAGAGCGACCATTTCGCGAATGGCGAGAGTTCATTATGGAGTTGCTAGAGTTGAGCTGATTGATCGAGTAAAACTGCGACGCGTTGGCAGCAATTTCCATATTGTTTGAGAGAAGGGGATGCTGCACCAACACGTCAGGCGTTGAAATGACTACAGCTCCTGCGTTTTCGTTGTTCAGGCTAGTGTCCTCGTTGTTGCCAAAGGGTGAAAAGTTGTATCGGTCATTGTGGCGAATGAGAAAGGAAGGCAGCATATCCTCCACATTGAAGAGAATGTTGGAGTCGTAATTGCGGAATCCTTCATCGAGAATGTCCTGCAGGTAGTCGTCGACATCCTCGTCGTCTTCATCCTCCATCTGCTCGTCCTCTTCATCCTCCTCCTCTTCCTCCTCTTCCTGTTCATCCTGGGTGCTTCCTGCAGCATCGTCCTCTTCATCCTCCACCTCGTCACCATCGTCATCTTCGTCTTCAGTTTGCGTTTCATCGCTACTCTCCGACTCGGCACAGTTTGAGTTGACAGTATTATCGTGAAGTTCACTGCGATTGTTTACCAAATCACCATCCACTACGTTGTGCTGCATGACCACTTCATCGTCATCGTCATCCGTCCGATCGTCCGAGTTGAAAGTTCCGCTTCTCGGATGAGAATTGAATTCATTGTCATAAGCGTCAAGATCGAATATTTCATTTGCAATCTCATCGGCGATCGCGTTGTTTTGAGGAGGAATGTCGCCACTGCTACTGTTGTTGAGAGCAGCGACAGACTGAGAAATGTCACTAGAGTTTGCATCGATATTTGAACTGTCATTGTTTGCAACGGCGGCATCCTCACTGGCGTCATTGATCATCACCTCCATGACTTGTTCATTTGAAACTTGCTGCTCGGCACCTGCAGTGGTGTTGGAGGCATCAGGACGAGTTCGATGAAGTCGAGTCGGGTAAACATTGCTCGGCACATTAAGGCTCTTCGACATGAACTCGAGCGTCTTCAGCAAAGAGTTAACAGTTGTCGACATGTTTGGAGATGACAAGTCAAGCGACTGGATCACTTTGGCAAGATCGGTTATAAGGCCTCTTTTGACCATGATTCGGAGGATAGAAGAGCTGCTACCAGTAGTGCTTCGGTTGTAAATTGAATTGAAAGTGGAGTTAGGGCAGGACTCTACTACCAGCGTGATCAAGCTTGATAATGCCTGAATTTTCAAGTGCTTGTCAGCCGATTCTGGACACAACACTGTACGGCTGAGAGAAGACTTAATTTCGGTCACAATGGCCTGATGGACTTCACTGGAGTAAGTCACCGTTGCCAGTGCGGCAAACAAAATTTTGCTGTACGGCGGAAAGTCCTTGTCGCCGTTCGGTGGGTTTACAGTTGGCACATACAGTAGGTTGTCCAGAATAAATGAAAGTGCGCTACATTCTTCTGATACAGCGTCAGCGAAGCCTAAAAGATAAATTAGATAACAGATTAATCACTGAAACAGTCTGAAAAACAAACCACATACCTCTGGTGTAACTGTGTTCGCAAATAACTTTGGCAATGACGCCGTATGATCGAATCAACTCGGCGAGTAAAGCGAGAATGGTAGATGTGGTAAAAATGTTTTCATTTAGCTTGCACTCGTCATCTTTCTTTGCCCCTTTCTCGCCTTCTGGTGCATTAAACTCTTCGGCGTGTTTGATAGGCAGCAGATTCAGTAACTCGTAGATAACATCACATGTTAGTTTTGGAAGGGCAATATAACCATCAGGGTTTTCACCCGTTTTGGCTGAAATACCCTTAAGGAAAGTAGGAGTTCTATCATCTTCCTCGTCGAGCTTTTTGTTGAAAATGTTTACTCGAAGAATTGACTTGGCAGATTCCTTGAAGAGGTCAATGTCTCGGCAAGCAGCAGGATTGAAGTAGCGGAAGATGTAGTGCATTTCGCGGTTGTTTATCAAAGATGAATTTGCCTGTGAGCGAATAATTTTCTCCATCATCACCTTCAAAACTTCCTTATCCTCAATCACATGGCGAATGATCAGAGTTGTCATTGAGACGATGCCAACGAATTGCGAGCCCCTAGGCAGATTGAGAAGAGTCGTGATGCCTCCGAGTTCAGCAAAGAGGCACGAGCTTTCGTGATTGCGAGAGAGACGGAGACACAGACGGAGGACGGCGTGCAAAGTGTCTGGGTCAATGGGTAGCTTTATCAAACTGACCATCGTTTCAATCAGAGTCTTTGAAAACATCGATGAAAGCGACTCGATGTGAACCCAGTCAACAACGTCCCCTTGATCTTCCTCCGTATCCTCACTGGTGAACATTATGGGTCTCCAGTTTCCAGTCTCTTCATTTACTTGCAGCATATTGTTGAACTGAATACAGTACTTTCGACGCATTGCCGTGAACCGATAAAACTGTTCACCGGTGCGGAAAGCGTCGTCAATTGCCTTGTTGGTAGCTGGAATATACGTGGTCCATCGAGAGGTGCGATCATCGAAAAACTTCCACTGCCTTTTACAGTTTTTGCTCAGTAGTTGCTTTCGTCGTTGCGAGGCGACAGCATACTTTTCGTAGACATCAATCAGAAGAACTAGTGGGCACAGCCATTTAGGTGTTGTAATTTTGGCTTCCTTTTCATAAACCAGTGTCAGCAAGTACGCGGACCGATCTAGAAGCTCAACCACTCTTTCAAAAAGATCCGACTTGGATATTTGCCCAGCACAGCTACTCTTCATCTCATTAAAGAGAAGGGCCAGCAAGTGGATTCGAGAAGACAACTTGCGAGCTTCCGGCAAGGTCGACAGGTGATTTGCCCAATCATCTCCAGACTTTTCCAGATCCGTGCCTTCGATGAATGACGATCGAACCAGACTGCTGATGTTGACGGTGATTTCATTGATCAGCTCAATGATCATGTTTTGAAACCACACAGTTCCGTTTCGCTTTGCAACAGCTATCAACAGCTCACAGCACTTGTAGACAGTGTCAGGAAGTTGGTCCAGTAGTTTTAGTGTGCCGGAAAGTATGATGCCGGTGAAGCTATCGAGCTCAGATTTACCAAGTGGAACTTCATTTGTAAGCGGTGGGGTAACAGGTTTAGGCAGGAGAACGCCTTTTTCACTCGGTTTATCGGTTTCGTCCAACGACATTGCAATCGCCTGAACGACTTGGTCCTCTTCAGTCATGTCTACCTCAGCATTTGGTGCTGAAGATGAAGATGCATCCTTTTTGCATAAAAAAAGAAGAAAAAATGCAAATATAAACAAGTCGTTAAAGCTTGGCTAAACTTGAACACCTACCGCTGATATTCTTACCAAGTGCGGGTGTGATATAAGCAGCTCGGCGGCCTGTCCTACATCGTTAGCCGTATGTGCAAGAGCAACACCGGCCAATTCACGAGAAAAGCCCATGTCCACGAGAATGTCGAGGATTCGCGATTGTGCGTTTGGCTCCTCTCCTGTCGGTTCGGGATTAGCTGGCCGAGCGGCAAGTGGCGGAACGGCAACCGGCTCAACAAGGCTTGCTGCTGGAGGTGCACTATCTGGAGGAGCAGTGACAGGGACTGGAGCGGTGGCTGACTTCTTTTGTGCATCCGTACTTGTGCATTCTGCGCTGGCAGTGGTCACACTTTTGTCCTTGAGGTACTTCTCAATAATAGATTCACCCTTCAACAAGTGGGACAAGATTGTGAGCAAAGAGTTGATGATATTTTCACTGTTCATTTGGAAAAGTTTATCATTCCAAAGCTCGAGTATGCAGGTAAAAGTTTTCTAAAACGAGTTGTTAGTTATTTTTAAGCAGCTTCATAAAACCATCCACTTACTTTGTGTGTTCGAATCAAAAACTGAATCGGATCAAAAGGCACAAAGGAGGCGTTTTTAGCATCCGCTTTAGCAGGAAGTGAATGAGGCGAGTCGAGAAGGGACTGTGGGTTAGTCATTTTCTCAAGCAACAGCAGCCATGCGTCGAGGAACTCAACGATGCCATCAGGCAGCTCGCTGCTTTTCCAAATGTCCGAGTTCTGTCCAATGGCCATTTTGAAGCAGTGAAAAAACGCATCATGCCCGCCGTGAACTACGAAATTCTGAAGCATTAGGTGGTAAGGAAACTTTCGATCGTCAAACAGCATCGGGCTGGAGAATCCAATTGAACAGACGTAAAAAGTGAGCCTGGGAAAGTAATAAATAGTTAATGTTACTTTAGTTATAGACCAAATTTGCTTTGATGATTGAAAACAATCGGAAAAACAAATTAACGATGTTCATAAAGTAAACTTTTTTATGCCATTTACGACCTAATCTGAAATTTAAATTTCCAAAAAAGGAGATACCAAGGCAACACCCAACACACAGCAAAAAGCTGCTTACCTGTATTTTGGAACGTTGGTATCAAACGGTTGCTGCCATGAAAGACCGTGGAAGAGCAGAACATTGAGATATTTAGAAATATTCCGAGATTGCTGCGAAGGTGGTTGAATAGTGGACGGGGCGGTATGGTGGCTTCGGCGGCGAATAGGCGAGCCAACACAAAGCTGAAAAAAGAAATGAAATGGTAAATTTCCCAGTAACTAGTAGCCAGTAAATGTAAATTATTACCTTAACCAAGAGGCCAAACAGTTCCGCCAATGATCGACCAAGCTTTGAAGCGACTGTTAGCAGAGGCTTGATGTACTTGGCCTGAGTATTCTTTGAAAATACAACAGGAGTAGATTTACCCTTCTTCTCAGAATCGTTTCGAGGGACACAGCCCGGGCAACCTGGATCGTTGTTGTCAGAGTCAACTTCCATCGGTGAAGCGACGTTATCATTTTCACTCGAAGACTTTAGCAATGAATTCAATCGCTCTAACTGTGTCTTTACGAATTCGTACTTTTGCGAGTTTGAGTCGTTGAGACCAAGCAGAAGCGTGCTTTCCCAGACAAGAGCGATGTAAATTTTACTTAGCTGGCTTATGATGTCTATGCCCAGTTGAGATCCCCACTGTTCAATAGAGATTGCACGAATATCACCCTGTCCAGTTCGACAAATATGGACAAACATGACGATGTAGGCGTGCACTGAGGACATTGATTGAAGTATCGGCGAAATAAAGTTTTGTGAAGCACCTTTCTTTGAGCCTAAAGACTGAATTAAATCTTCAAGAAGCACACTTCCTTCAAAAGGTTTATTTCCATTAAAAAGGGGGTCCAGCTTTTCGATTATCTCCTTCAGCTTGGTCAAACAGCTGGTGAAAATGGTTTTTTCGTGTGTCAAATTCTGCAAAAAAAGGGTCCGCAGTTGTAGTTTTTGTCATGAATGTGGTTGTCGCCATATTTACCAGAAGAGATTTGAAAACGCCAGCCACGTTATAGCAAGCGGGTGAAGAGGGAAAATCGGCTGGAAGGTTGGGCAGCTTTAAAATCTGGAATAGAGGCTCTAAGCCATCGTTGCGAAGAAACTCCTGACAGTGATCCTCAGTGGAGTTGTTCGTTAGAATGGCGTCAACGAAGCGCATCTGATAAATAAAAACCAATAGCGTTATACGACGGTTTACAAGGCAAAGTACATCAACTCTTCAGATGCAGTAATGAAGCTCTCAGATCTCATAATCTTTACCATCCTGTAAAAGTCTACTACTTTAGAAATGACACCATTTGCAAGAAAGAAATGATCACAACTAAGATTTCGACTTTAGCACTCAGTTGTTTGTTCTAATCATTGAGCAGTACTGAAGTAGTAGCAAATACACCTAAAACTGAAAATAGACTTACCACATTGAAGATGTAATCATGAAGTGGAATCTGCTGTTTTTGTTCGCTTCGGCCAGCTGATAGAGGCTGTTTGGACGTACTTGCAGGGGGAGTAGCAGCNATTGAAGATGTAATCATGAAGTGGAATCTGCTGTTTTTGTTCGCTTCGGCTAGCTGATAGAGGCTGTTTGGACGTACTTGCAGGGGGAGTAGCAGTTGCGGAGACCTCTTCTAGGGTATTGCCACTAGCACTGCTTGTGCTGGCGGCAGTGGACGGTAGCTGGACAATTTCGCTAGTCACATTGGAAGGCGGCGTGTTAGTTGCCGTATCGTCATCAAAGTCCTCCTCCTCATCAGAAGAGCTTAGGTCGTTGCTAATATTGGAAGTGGTTGGAATCACTCGTTCAGAGTTCTCAGTGAGCACTAGTCCAATGTTGGAATCAGTTGATTTAGTCTTTGAGCACACGTACTTGGAGTCTGAGCCAAGTTTGCATATTTCATCGAGCAGCTTAATGATGGCCTTTATTGCCTCCACACGCAGACTTGGCTGGTGTCGCATAAGTTCGTCCATGGCGTTGCCAAGGCTGGTGGCAGTGTCGCCAATGGACTCGCTTCGTCTTCGGCGCATAGCTTGCAGGTAGTTTGGGGAGAGGAAGATTTTAAAAAGCCTCTCAAAGGGTTTCAGCTCGACAAAGGCCTCCAAACCACGACGATTGAGGCAAAGGGCAGTGAATACGTTTGGAAGTGAGGCAAGCACCTCCTTGGTGGAGGGAACATCTTTTACCAGAAGGGCGTAGAGCACCACATCAGTGAGACCGTTGTCTTGCAGTGTTGAGAGGAGGGAAGGCTCGTGGTAAACGTAGACCGATACCACGTCGGTGGCAAGTAAAAATAATGATGATCCATAGTACTCGGCGTTGCTTATTATGTGACGAATTGAACTGGGAAAATTGCCGTACATTAGATGGCGAATTCCCTCAGACAGTGTGGAGTACTGAACAGCTTTCTTCAAGAAGTTCAACATCGACTTGAGCAAGGCTGCTCTTTGCGGGTAACAAATGATCTCAGATGAAAAGCGCGTTTTGTCAATTGTCAATAAGTCTTTCTCCGGTTGGTTTGGTGCCTGCGTTTGTTCAGCTTCGCTTTCCACTTCCATTGGAGTCTCGACTTCACTTGCCTTGGCAGCCTCCTCTGCAACGGACAAAGCCAAATCGTTCTTCTCCTTGTTGATCTTATCAGCAGACACTTTAATTTCAAATGGCTGCTCACTTCGGCAGATTTCGACCTCATTCTGAATTAAAAAAAAGTAAAATTAGCTTTCAGCACAACAAGTTAAATCCTAAACATACCTCAAGGCGCTGCACAAAAATGTTCAAGCCATCATTGTTTTGAAAGGCGCTCATCTCGAGATTGGTAATTAAATCAATAACTCGAACGGCTCTGGTTACAAACTAAATCGGAAAAGAGTTGTAAGTAATGCCGTTGAAATTACCAAAAATGTTAAACTTACAGTTATGTGATCTAGTTCAGGACCCTTCCAGTTGATGACTTTGAGCAAAGATTCCATTATTCCACATTGTACTAGCGCTTCGCAGCCTGGTTCGTAGCTGGCAAGGTGGTAGAGAAAGGAAAAGAGGGATGTCGCGAAATTTAGAGGAAACTGTTCGGTGTCGCCAGAGATCAAAGAGTTGATGCAATTTCGAACGAGAATTGGCAAGAACCCGTGGTAAGAAGAAGCTCCGGTGGTATCGATGATCACTTTCAACTTTGAGTTTCGATCTAAATGAATGATGGATGTGAGCGCCTTCAAGGAAGCCGATTTGATTTCAATCAAGTCAGGATTTTTCAGCTCAAGAACATCAACGAGTTCTTCAATTAGCCCATTGTATAAAAGCTGTGTGTTTGCTTCTTGAAGAGCCACTGATTGACAATAAACTGAAGGTAAAAGGGTAAACATTTGGTAATTGCTTATTTCCCAAAAATAACAAAACTCACCAATAATTGACAATGCGTTGAGTCTGGCTTGAACGCAGTAAAGGCGATTTTGATAGTTGGCGAAACTCTTTGTCAAACGAAGATGTGTAAATAACTGGGTGTGACACTCAGCTGGCACTTTGTACTTTTCCACAATTTCTTCCATAAGAGCAGACAAAGACTTGTCGATGAGATGAACATTTTCGATGTGAATTCCGATGACGTTGTTTGGACACTTTCTGTTTTCACCTTCATTCTTTGAGTAAAATTCAAAGTTTAATGTTGTTGCCGAGGAAGGGTAGCTGGACATTGGCAAGTCCTGGCAGCATTCTGCCAATCCAAAGCCGTAGTCTTTGCCGCCCCAATTCTCTGCAAGATAACACAGTCGAGAGAGGAGAGCTTGTCGTTTATCTGAGCTGATTCGAGAGAAAAAGTTTGACCGCTTGCTAAACACGAAAAGTAGATTTAAAATGGCCAAAACAATTTGCATATCAGTAGACGAGAGTAAAGTGATTAGATGCTAAAATAAAAAAAGTTAATTATGTAAAGAATGAAGAACAAAAGAAACTTAATACTTCGATTGAGTTGTAAAGGTGGCGGGAAAAGCTGTGCTCGATGAGAAGGGATGTAAATGAGATGACGGACAAGAGAAGATCCTTTTTCTTCAAGTCAAAGTTCAAAGGTTAGCTTAGGTCATTTCGAAAAAGCGCAAGAGTCAACTTACCTGAGAATTTTCTGGAAGATCAACGGGTAGAATCCATTGATTGTCGCCCTTTCGACAGCAATCCTCGAGGATTGCGTCGAAGATGTCGAGTATATCGATCCAGTGGTACAGTTCGCACTGCAACAGTTGAATAATGTCAACATTGCAATAAATCAGTTTCAAAGTGCCTCAGCAAACTTACTTTTCCACAACTCCAAGTTTTTATGCTCTTGAGTGTGACCAGTAGCTCGTCCTCGTTGCATGATTTCAACTTGCTAATTAGAACTTTACAGTCAAAAGGCTGATAAAGCGAATAGATGATAAAAATGTATAAGAAAGGATGGCGACAAAGACAACGCAGACGCAACAAATTACCACGTCGGAGGAGCTTTTCTTCGACTTGAGTCTATCGATCTTCATTGTGCCGACTCTTCTTACGACATGGCTTTCCGGGAAGTTGATTGGGTGAATTGGTGGACCAGTGGGTACGCCGGGATGTTGTCGAACCTAGGAGATTTAGTATAAAAAACTAGGGAATTGCAAAGTCCGTAATGACTGAGCCAATTTTTGACTGGTAACAGAGGCGAGAAGAAAAGAGAGAAACTCTCTTGCGAGCGCTTTGTGCCTTCTTTACACTTTGCATCGCGCTACTATTTACGTGTTAATCGACGCACTTTTCGCAGAAGACGTGTCCACCTGATGTTTATCTTTTTTCGCACCTTTCACCTTTATCGACCCGCCAAAGGAGATATTTCAAGTGTGTTATCCTTTATTTGTTATCAACGATTGGGCGATTTAATATGGAGGTTTGTGTTTTTGATATCGTTAGGTCTTGATAATTGCTAATTCATTTTCATCTTCAGAAACTTCTCAACTTTCAACCCGTGATTCAAAAGACTAAGGAACCTGGTTTCTGTGTCAAAGCTCGCATAAAAGGAAGCAGCTCCAAGTTTTTTATCAACTTTTGCCATTCTACTGTGGTAATATATTTAAAATGTTTAAAATAAATGGAGTTTTGTTCAACGTTTTGTTTTTGCAGATCTCCCCTCCAACTCTGGTTTTAAGTGAACGAGAGCTGGAAGCCTACATTGAAAGTGAAAACGTTGAAGAGCTTAGCAAATTCACAATTCCTTTAATTATTGAAAATCAAGAATCTACAAAAGACAAAAAAGGTGTCTCATCAAAACTGTCACATGTCATAGTAAACAGCAAGTTCTACGGCGAATACATTGCTTCATCAGTCGTTTACAAAAGTTTTCTAGTTCACATTACGATTGGATTACTAAATGAAAAATTCAACGTCAGCATTGATTCAAGTGATTATGTGATACTGAAAAATAAGCAGTTTCAACTGCCGGATAACCAAGACACTTTTAACAAACTCCTCAAAGATACACTAGTTGAGGCTAATACTGAAACAAACAATAACAAAATGGAAGTTCTCGACAATGCCAAAGTTTTAGACAATGAGCCCGAGAACAGCGCCGATTCAAATTTNTTAACAAACTCCTCAGAGATACACTAGTTGAGGCAAATACTGAAACGAACAATAACAAAATGGAAGTTCTCGACAATGCCAAAGTTTTAGACAATGAGTCCGAGAACAGCGCTGATTCGAATTCGAATGTTCGAATGAGCCTTGATTGCAAAAATGATCTTCTCGAAGTGGCCATAAAACTCAATGATGAAGTCTCCTTTGAAGATTTGGCTCTACTGTTAAATGACGACCGAATTATGATCAGGCATAAAGATCAAGTGCTGAATGATTTTCACACTTCAGTACCTATGAATGCTGACCAGGCGTCTGCTCTTTTTAAAGATAATGTCTTGCGAATAAAATGTCCTGTTTTCTTGTGATTTAAGGTTGTGAAACTTTGAAAAGCTAACATTTATTAAATTTTTTAAATATTAGAATCGTTTTTCAGTTTGAGATTTGCACACTGTGTGCCACTAGCTTCGGCTGAGTGCTTAACAAGTGCAACAAGGCATCGAAGGAGTTTCCCCGGTTGACACAATGGCGCACATTTAGACCCTGAAAGTGCTGTATGCTCTAATAAACTGAATCTATTGAATCAAGGTTATTCAGTGGGCGAACAAAGGCATTTCCGTCCTCATCCTTAATTGTGCCGCATTTTCCGGCACTGACTCAATTACCCAAATACTTGCTTTTACCTGCAAATTTAGGCAATTGGCAGTTTCCTTACAACTGCTCTTGAGACGGGTGTTCACATTGATTCAGCACAGGCAGATATCTTCACTCGCTAATAAATCAGTGCCATTTCAACTGGTCTGCTTGTTATCACTTTGCTCTCCTCCTCCTCCTCCTCCTCCTCCTCAGTAATGAAGTCAATTGTCCAGCTAGGCAGTGTATAGAGCTGCGCGTCGCTAGTTCCCTTCCAATCGTCATCAGCGCCTTCCGCTCTTGAACTTTATTTTTTTATCGGTGCAGTGTCTCTCCATTCCTTTGGAGCGCATCCGAGCAATCGATTTCCAATAGCACACTGCAAGGAAGGATTCTATTATGTCAATGTGAGGCATTGTCTGTCCACGGACGGACGGTCTCATTTCCATTTCTTAGCCTAATTCCCCATTATGGTTCGACGTCATTGTGAGTGTGTGAGTGTGTGAGTGGTGCTGGNAAGGAAGGATTCTATTATGTCAATGTGAGGCATTGTCTGTCCACGGACGGACGGTCTCATTTCCATTTCTTAGCCTAATTCCCCATTATGGTTCGACGTCATTGTGAGTGTGTGAGTGTGTGAGTGTGTGAGTGGTGCTGGTGGTGGTGGTGCCAAGAGCAGACCCGAGTGTGCGGACACAATCACTCATTGCCATTCATGTGCCTATCGCACACACACACTTGTTATATCTCCGTCTTCAATTTGGCCTATCTCCCCGGCAGTGCAGCAACAGCCAGGGCGAATCAATTAAGTGGACTAGGAGAGAACCACTGGCGTCTTCTCCCGCTGAACTGAGCGGCACTTCCCTCCCCGAGTCAATATGGCAATAGCGCATTCCTTCCTCCGGAGTGCCCATATCTCCTTCCACCTCGTCTTCCCCCTTTTTTTATTAAAACAAATTCTTGTCTCTCAGCTTTTCACTTGCACTGGCACTTCTACTACTACTACTACTACTACTACTACTACTACTACTACTACTACTACTGCTAGTTCTACTGGCAGTGCACGTCTCCTAATAGGTGCCCTTATCGTTAAGGACAGGCTGACATTGTGCTATCCAGTCAGTCAGCACACTGTGTAATCGGTGGGCATTGTTCCCCGAATGGAGCAAGTCAAGTGCTGGCTCGGCCCCGTTTGCTCCTTTCACTGCGTCAGCAGCAGAAGTGAAATCGATAGGATGACTGGCGCGAATAGTGATGCAGTGATGAAGTTTGAATGCCGTCGCGATGATCAGAGTGCGTACCCTCGCTCCAGTGGCCCCATGCAGGGCCCCGTCATAATAGGCTCACAAATAATTGTTGAGCGTCTCTCGTTGCACTGGGCGCCACTGGCACAGAACAGGACTGTCTGCACTTTGAATTAATCGACTTAGCGCCCACTGTTCGTGGACACACTTCACTGGCTTTCCTCCTGGCTTACCCTCTTCTTGCTCTCACCCTTCTCCTCTCCTCACAATTAATTGACATTCTAATTGATTGAGCACCTAACCTCTTGAAGATTCAATCAACAATGGCCATCGGAGATCAACTGCTGCTTACTGCCAGATCTGTCGATGGATGCTCTTGTTCATTTCCAATGGCAGTGAGCTGCCGAATGTGAGCTGACACTCAATACACTGTTGGGCGTCTCAGTAGACCAATCAGTTTCAATTAGCACTTTCGATTTGAGCTGTTGTATTTGCTTTCTCTGCGCTCCTGTCCTGTTGCTGCAGTCTCAGTGCTGCTCTAGAGGTTCTTTTGTGCAGTCCCTGTGTGGTTTTCCTTCCTTCCCAAAGTTTGTTTCAACGTTGAAAACCCTTTAAAAATGGCCGAGCCAGCGCCAGCACCCGCATCAACACCAGCGTCAACATCCTACGAGAAAATGCAGCACATCCTGGGCCAGTGTCGCGAGTCCCGCAAGCTAGTGCTTTTGATTGTCGCCATTGGACTCCTACTGGACAACATGCTGCTCACTTCAGTCGGTGCGTTTTTATAGTTTTCCTTATTTTTTTGTCGTTTTCATTGTCCTCTTTTGCTTACCAGTGCCCATAATTCCCGCCTTTCTCTATGAGCTACATCACTCAAAAGACATGGTCGCACTCAATGAATCCTACCAAACTTCAACGCCCACACCGGCACAAGAATGGAACCGACGAGTGGAGCAAAACCTTGAAGATTCGCAAATACTGGCGCAGTTAAAGTGGGCAACAACAAACAGTAAACTTAATCCTCAATGTGAAAAAGCGGTCTGTGAAAAAGGAGTAAACAATGGAAGTTATTTCAAACTTTTCTTGCAGATTGAAGAGTACCTGATGACGACGACGGATTTAACCACCACCACCGAAGAGGCGACAACCCTTCCTCCTTCTGATGAGCAGGTGCTTCGACACAGAGAGCTTGTCGGTGAGAGCACCGAAGTGGGTGTAATGTTTGCATCAAAGCCGATCGTTCAAGCAATTACCAATCCATTTGTGGGCCCTCTTACCAACAAGTCAGTAATACATGAACATTCTAACTTTAACAGCAGAAACCGTTTTAATCTATTTTTTCCTTGCTTAGAATTGGCTACTCCTGGCCACTTTTTGCAGGCTTGATTATGCTTTTCTTCTCAACAATGCGTATGGTTTTGTTTTGTTTGTATTTGTTACTGTTTAAAAATTACATTTTGCTTGACAGTTTTTGCAGCCGGCTCAACTTACTCTACGCTGTTTATGGCGCGATCTCTTCAAGGCGTTGGTTCTGCTTTTACCAGCGTGGCCGGCATGGGACTGCTTGCTGAAAAGTACCCAGATGACCGAGAAAGAGGTTGGTGAACACATTGAGAACCACCAATGAAAGTGACCACAACATTTTTGTTGCAACAAACTCTAGGCAACTCTATGGCGATTGCACTAGGTGGACTGGCACTCGGCGTGCTCATCGGACCACCTTTTGGAGGTGTTTTGTATGAGTTTATTGGCAAGAGTTCGCCGTTTATCATTTTGGCATTGCTGGCTCTAATGGACGGATGTATGTCATTTCTTTTGTTTTTAGATCTGAAAAACATTTTTTAAAGCATTTTCTTTCAGGTCTGCAACTGCTGGTGCTTCAACCTAAAGTGATTGAAGAGGAGCAAGAAGGTGCATCCCTTCTCACGCTAATTCGCGACCCCTATATCGTTGTGGCAGCTGGTGCAATTACATTTGCCAACTTGGGCATTGCCATTCTCGAGCCGTCCTTGCCACTTTGGATGATGGACACAATGCAGTCATCCAACTGGGAGCAAGGTGTCGCTTTTCTTCCTGCGTCCATCTCTTACCTCATAGGCACCAACATTTTCGGTCCCCTTGGTCACCTAATGGGCCGGTGGCTGGCTTCCCTTTGTGGTCTGGTCATAATCGGCTTTGCTCTGCTCATTGTAAGTCATTAATTTGCCTTAGCGTTTTTACTTTTCTAATGCAGCTTCTTTACCCCAGATTCCATTGTCTACCAGTCTTTCTGAGCTTATCATTCCCAACTCTATGATTGGATTTGCCATTGGTAATTATGATTGTAAACAGTACGCTCACCAGTAAATTTTTTTTTTGCTTCATAAGGAATGGTTGACAGTTCAATGATGCCGCACCTTGGTATGCATTGTGCTGTAAAATCATGCAAACAATTACTAAAATTAATTTTTAGGATACTTGGTAGATATTCGACACACTTCAGTTTACGGTAAAATGTCGTTTTTTTAACAAATTGTCATTATAAACTCATCATAATGATTGCAGGAAGCGTATACAGTCTTGGAGACTTTGCTTTTTGTCGTAAGTTTAAGTTAAAAAATATTAATTTTAATTGTCCTATAACTTGTTGTTTTTTCTAGTTGGCTTTGCCGTTGGCCCAGCACTTAGCTCGACGCTAGTTTCGCTTATCGGTTTTGGTGGCTTGTGCACGACCACGGCAATTGTGTGCTTCTGCTTTGCACCGTGCATGTTGATGCTTCGAAACCCGCCCGGAAAAAATGAAAACAAAATTCTTCTTAATGAGGGTGCTGTGAAATATGTGAGCTACACAAATGAGGAAACTCCCGATGAGGATCCTTCTAAGCCAAAGGCTTTTGAAATGGTGCCCTAGACCACAGACAGTGTAGGATGTCTGTTAAGCACATATCTGTCAAAAGACTGGCAACCCGATTACAGTTTATGAACTTGTCCACTGGTAGATGTTTTGGCAACATTGGCAACATAGTCAGTTTGAGCCAAACTGTAATTTAGATAAAATGGTTAACCGTAACTTTCTGCCATTTTGCTGTGCCAAAAAAATGTTCAGACAGGTATCAAAATGACAAACACAATTGCAGCTCACTACTAACGTTGTTTGTTCATCACTGTTATATTTGTTACATTGGTTAAACTCTGTAAAGCCCAATAAAGTTTGTGGCTTCTACTAGAATTTGGTTTAAAAGTATTTTTTCATTATGTTCATAAACAATTACATATTTATGTAACATTGAAATGACTGATAACTCTGACTGTTTACCTGTTTGCGTCTGTGAGTTAATCGACATGTAAAGGTTACACAGTTAACCTAAATGACAAATATTTTTTTGTGAAAACCCTTACAAATGGACACAATTTCATTAGTGACTCTGTGCCCACCTTTACTTTGCACCGTTAATTAATTAGAAAACCATCATCATAAGTGTAATGTCAATGCTAAAAGATCATCGAAGCGAAAAGAACAGTGGTACAGGCAATGGCACCTTCACGGCGACGTCAATGTTCCCTGTGGGCCAAGTTGTTGAGTGCAATAAAAATAAAGAAGAAAAAATACAAATATATCTTCAAATGTTTTTCTGTTTCCGCCGTCAAAGCTGCATTCACGTCAATTGCTCGTTGCCATCGTTTGTCCAAGTGCAATATATTTTCTCACTGGTCTGCTGTTTTATTGGTGATCTTTAATTAACATCAATCGATACCGTAAGCGATTGGCGCAGTACCATACATTCACCCGATGTACTGATGATAGCGGTGCTGATAGCGTTGATGATGCCTTTGGTACAACAGTGGTGAGACCTCGTCAGCTGGGCTAGGACACTGTGGTCAGCAGTGGTCGGCAATTGGCGCAATAAAGGCAACAATCCAAATGAACGAAGCCACTATTACCGGTCGACTGTCTTCAAAGTTTCCGAATGTGTGAGCACACACATACTTTCAAACCAGCGACTTCATTCATCAATCACGCGGTCAAGCACCACTACTCGGTGGTTTGTTTTCCTGCCGTGTTTTTCTTCAATCAGTTTGTCTCTTGGTGCTTCTGTACACTTGACTCATTTTTAGTAAATAATGTTCAACACTGGCGACACTAAAAACCATAAAGAGAAAACAAAAATCTATCATTTTTAATCGTCGACTCACTTCCTCAACTATTTTTATTTAAAGCTTAAAATAAAGTTAATGTTTGCCGAGTACTAATCAATACTGTGGACGCCCAATTTTCTTGACCCAGCCTGCAACGTGTGTGTTTAGATCTACACCAAGCTCTTTCTCTCGCCCATTATTCAGTCAGCATACAAATAAACAACAATCGGACTTGAATTCTTTAAAACAAATTTTTTTTGTTATTTGATCACAATGTACAAATCAAAGCAAACCAACATCAACTTTCGATCAACCATGCACTGCTGCGCCATGTTTTTCCTTTTCTTGATTTTGATGACCGAGTTGTTAAGCACGGCAAGTTCTGCCAATTGTCTGGATGGTCTCGTTCGAAAGCCTCCCCGGTTTGGGAAACGTTCAGATTTTCCTTCAATGCATCCTTGTTTTGTGTTCCAGCGCCGAAGTGATCGACTGTCAAAACTTAAACTCTACTTTGAAAAAAACCATTCAGAAACAGGAGAAACGGCGCTGGAGAATTTTAACGCTGGACAGGGAAA